TCTATCTGTGTGTGTCTGTGTGTGTCTATCTGTGTGTCTGTGTGTGTCTGTGTCTATCTGTGTGTGTGTGTCTATCTGTGTGTCTGTGTGTATGTGTCTATCTGTGTGTGTCTGTGTGTGTCTATCTGTGTGTCTGTGTGTGTCTGTGTCTATCTGTGTGTGTGTGTCTATCTGTGTGTCTGTGTGTATGTGTCTATCTGTGTGTGTCTGTGTGTGTCTATCTGTGTGTCTGTGTGTGTGTGTCTATCTGTGTGTGTGTCTATCTGTGTGTCTGTGTGTGTGTGTCTATCTGTGTGTGTGTGTCTATCTGTGTGTCTGTGTGTGTGTGTGTCTATCTGTGTGTCTGTACCTCACAGGGTAACCACGGTGAGGACGTAAAGGAACTGTACTACTACCTGGACAGCACGCCCACCCACTCGTACATGGCGGCGCTGTACAAGTACCCCCAGAAGGCGTACCCGTACGACCACATCGTGGCTGAGAACAAGCGACGGAGCAAGCTGGAGCCGGAGTACGAGCTGCTGGACACTGGTCAGTTGTGCCAGATCTCATGGGGAGTGGCCTTGTTTTTTCCTTTTAGTGAGAGTTTTTTGGCATTTACAACACAATTACGTCTTATAAGTACTGAAGATTAGAGGTCTTACAAGGGAGTAACAAACACAAAAAAGAAGGAGGAGAGATAAGGACGATAGATGTTTGATAGGCAAGAAGGAACGAGCCACAGCAGAGCACCCACCAACCACCCACTACTGTGGAGTGTTCTCAGCACAACTCATGACTTCTTTATTCTTGTGCTCTTTGGGGGTTTGAACTAGGCTCCCTCCAAGGTACTAAATGGGTCACGACGCGGTGAATCAGGCGCTCGTCAGTGTTGGGGCATCTGGAGTTATTGGTAGCATCTTAAAGATTGTTCATTTGACCATCTTTTGAAGAAAAAAATACCCGCCTATCTTGAATAGAAGTCGAGATATTTGCGATTGAAGGAGGTCGGGGTCTCCTGGTTTTAGAGGTAAAATTAGCGCCAAAATGACATCCAGAGTTTGGTGATTTCCCAAGCTTGAGAGTCCTTGGAAACTGAGAATTTACATTTGTTGTGCCTTTAATCAATGTTTTTCAGTGAAATCCACACAGAAATTAAATGTGTTTTTAAATGGACATTAAAGGTGTTGAGTCAAAAAATAAAAAATTAGAAAAATATTGTCAAACTGGAGGAAGAATGCGGATATCTTTGATTTCATTATTTTGACGGGTGCCTGGTTTCGCCACAACACTTTACAAATGTTCTTTTCTGATACTCACACTTTGGGCTGTCATTCTGTATGATAGTTAGGGTCAGGGTCAAGGTCAGGGTCAGGGTCAAGGTTGTTGATGGTAGTCGACTAGTAGACTGTGAAGTAGACCAATTGGCCCGAGATGGGGG